AACCGATGGCCAACGCACTCTCCTGCAACACGCGCGATGCGTCAGCGACCCACAGAGACAATTCGTTTCGTTTAAAGTTTAAACGAACCTGCCGCCTTTCCAATGCTCGCATCCTACCCATTTCTTACCTTTTGTTCGACTCGCGAGAACTGTTGCACCGCGTTTCTAATGCGCGCAGATAAGGTTTGTGGGTTATTCGCGTGGAAACGGAACGCGATAAGATCTTGGAGTGGGCGATATAACGAGTGGCTGTACAACGGGTTATCACAGCGATTTAATATGGAGCAGCGCGGCGATACAACGCGTTACGATTCCACGCGTGGCGAAATAAAACGTAGCGGTTCCACGCGTAATATATCATTCGGTAACACGATGCATGGCAAGTATACGCTCAGCGATTCCACGCATAGCAATATAGTACGTGGGAATTGTATTCGTGTTTATAGAACGCGTGACGACATACTGCAGACTTTTTAGTATTTACCGTAGTCAGAGTTTAATTTAAGCAAAATTAAAACCAAGTTTGGTCGCTTTAAGGCAGCGAAACGAGTCAAGTTCTACATTGTTCGCCGTAATAGAGGAGAAAATATTAACGACTAAAAGGTCGTTAGCATTTGTATCGCGCTAATGACCGTGCCGACTAGCTGACAAATTACAGAGATTATCCTATAAACAGGTTTATAATTGGTTGAAATTTACGATTGCCGCGTAGATAAAGAAAAAGGGAAGCTTATTTAACAGCGTTAAATCGAAAATGCACGCGCCAATGACGTCAAAAGTTTAACGAAGAAAAGCGCAACGCTTCGCGTCCCGCTGCGATAGCAGACTCGCGCGGAATAACAAACACGATAAGCTCCGCTGCTGCTTGTATGCACGGTGCATTTATAATAAAAATCGCGAACCATCTGCGACGGCCCGAGTCGACGCGAACCGACAGTTTATCGTCTCGCTCTTTCATGAAAATTTTTTAATCCACAAACATCGCGATTCCGTGAAAACCGTTTATTATTCTTCTAAAAATAGTAGCTTTCTAATGGACTATCCGAGAAATTAACGTTCAATTAGGAACGACTATAGGCGAGATAGTTAGGGGAAAGTTCGGTGAATGCATTATAGTGCATACTGGCGAAGGGCGTGCACGTGTACGGCCGAGAAAGTGACGTTCGTTCGACGAAGGGCGTGTATATTCGCTGTGAGAAAGTGACGTTCACTCGTGCACCAAGGATATATACGTTCGCTCGAGAAAGTGTAAGGCGTTCTTACGCACGCATACCGCGTGTCGGAGCCGCTTAATTCTCTCGCCACGTTATGAATGCACATATGCGCTCTACTCGTCTGTCCGACACATGCTGCTGCACCATGCGCGATCGCGCTAGATCAATGCCTCTTTATATGGAAACAGGTTACCGAAGCTAATTTCTATCCCGTATCTTTATTCTGGGAGTGCCAATTTTAAAGATGCAGGACCTTCTGATCAATTGGTAAGTTTGAGGAAGAGGTCTAACAATTTACGTGGAGAATTTATGGAAATTTTAAGGAAACGAAGGCGATGTCGTGGCATTTGTTCTCACGAGTACACGCATGCGTATATGCTGCGTACACGTATGCTCCCAAAGAAAACTACATTATCGAAGTAACTGCGCCAATTCGAAATAAAATTAAAAGATAAAAGAGAATCTCTTAAATGGAACCGTGCACGGTCCAGTTGTGATCGACCCATAAAACGCAACTGGTCGGAATAAATTGAAGATGCATAAGAGCTAGGATGGCACAGTTGGACGTTTCGTGTTTGCCAATAAGGAGGTTGTAAATTACGCAATCGACAGCTGAGCTGCGCTCGAAATTATTTCCACGAGAAACGCGCATCTGTGCTCTCGAAAGTGGCTTGTTTCTCTTTGTGCACCTTTTGCAACGACTCGTAGACAAACACGTGCCGCGCAAATGCACCGACGCGACGCGCACGCTTATTTGCATTTCGTTCGTCGTTACGAACGCACATGTTCCACCTTGTATTTTTATCGTTTCGCGGCCATACGTGCGAGCGCGCCAATGCGAGCGCATACGTGTTCCCGGTACATTCGTGTATCTATCGCGTCTCCATTGTAACATTGTTTCTCGACCTTTTTGTCCGCTGGATGCGTTTAATCGGAGACCGGCTGTTGACGCAAAACGTCGCGGTCGTTGGGAAACGACGAATCAGCGACGGAGCAAGATGTTCCACGGGATTTGCGGAAAGAACAGCCGGCAGAAAATTTGATTCGACCGGTGTAGATTTTATCGAGAATAAATGTTCGTACGGGACATTTTATGCCAACTTCACCAATTTGCTATAAATACATTGTTATGACAGGCTGTTTTTAACCGCGGAAAAGACTGCCACCCGCGTCACCGAATGTCGAAACGACGAAAAGCGACAATTTATGAAACTCCTCGAAGGACGTCGCAATTCGGATCAACTGCTTAGGCAATTATCATTTATTTTATTTTTATTCGCCGTGAAGGTTTAGTACCCTTTGAGGATCATGCGATGTTATGTCGGCGGTAATAAAATCTGTGACAAAGTACAGATTTAGAGGGAAACTCGGATACACGGGAAAATCTGTATCTAGAAAATGAAATATAAAGATGACATGTTCTTTGAAAATCTAGATCCGAAGATAGAAGAATCCAGATGTTTTCGCGACGATAACTCATCGTATCACGAGCGATATTTATCGCTTTATGACACGACGCACCGTTAATAACAGCTGTCATTTATCGTTAATAGACTTAATATCTTTCTCTCAGAAGTAAATTTTTATTTATAATTACAGCTATTATCTCGAAGGTTAAGTTTTATCTGAAGGAACTGTTGTCGCTCGAGTCAGTTAAGTTCGTTAAATTCGTCTCGTTATTCTTTTCGTTATCGGTCACGTGCGTGACAGGAAACACTGTTAGAAACATTATCTGTTTACCGATTATCAGTTATATACTGCTACCGGAGCCGCTATCAACGTCGACATCATCGTTTGACGGTGACTGACATCGTTTGATGGCAATGTTTTGATCGTTTAATTACCATAACAAATATGACCTTCGTCGCTCCGATTGCTCAACCGTTTTATTGCTAATTAAACAATGTCGGCTGTCTTCTGCCGCCTCTCTTCAGTCGATTCGACAAACTCGAGTTATTTTCTGCGAACGTTTCGTCACGATTCGAACAAACTCGCGGAGGGGGAAGATGTCACGTGTCCGATTCGTTTTGCAATTAAATCGCGAGAACAGAATTTGCTTGGCTAATGTCTCTTTTAATTTCTTATCGAATTAAACGAGAAGAGATTCGGTGTTCTCGAAACTTGCCACCCGTGTCTTTCCTCGATTCGACGACGGAATTTGCTTCCGTTCTCTCCTTTTGATACAGACATTTCGGTTTTAGCGATCGGCCTCTCCTTTTTTTTCCGCTGACGAGGAAAATTTACCAAGAAAATTGGGTCGATCCGATCCACGGTTTTTCACTTACTCTCGCAAAAATTGCCCGCTCGTATCAAGTTAGCAATCCAACCACGTCCGTTTTTCCGTTCGTTCCTTTTCATCTCCTCCTTTTTTCTTCCCGTTCAACAGTCCGATCGCGAGTCGTTAATTTCCAACATTTTTCCGCCAAGATTCATGGCATTCGCGTCAGCTTTATCGTTCCACGGAGACGAAAGGTTCTCCAAATTGAAACCCATCGGCAAATTTTATGCACCGATCGAACGTTTCAATGAGATCGTACTCCGACAATATTTTTCAAACTATTCAGAAATCTTTCTCCTTTATCGCATGAATTTCCTTTTACCTCCGCGCAAACGGATAATAAAAATCTTTTATCCTTCGACTCTCTTTAGTTCGGTGAATTTTTTCCTACTCAGCTTTATGTTCGATTTTTCCTCGAATTTCCAAATTCTTGAGAACAGAATTTTCCGCTAACTCCTACGACTGCAATTTCCAGAGGCGTTCGCAAATGTAAAATATAAAGCTCGATCGACAAAGACGATTACGATAATTAACATATACGCTGTTTCAGAATACTCTGCGTCGCTAGAGAAACCGTAAGCATGCGTCGAATCGTAATGTGTAGCTCGTCGGGATTACCGAGGTAAAGAGGAAGTCTGAGAAAATTTTCCTCGTACTCGAGGAAACAAACGCAAAAATGAATAACGCATCGGAAGACTCCGTTTCCGGAATTTTCCCGCCATCGAGAAAGTTTATAGGATGATGCACGATATTCTGTCGCGAAACGTACAGGAATAGCTCGCGGTCGATTCGACAAGTTTTGACGTAGGAACGTTAACGATCCACGGATAAAACTGGTGGTTTTTATTACGCCAGCCACTTTCCACCGCGACTACGTAATACAAAAATACCGGCGGAAAGAATCCGGTGGTTTTAATCTGTACCGTTATTCGCATTAGTTACGTTATCGCCGATTGTAAACGCGACTGTCCGAGGAGTGACGCTGTTACTCGTTTCCAGATTATGATCTCAACCGCCGTCGACTTCTCTAAATATTTACCAGCTGCACCTGTTTCACGATTCTTTTCTCCGAGTTAAATCCCTGCTAGTAATCACCCATCAACTACCTCAATGATGCGGAAAAGAAACACGATAAAAAAGAACATCGTTTTCGTTTTCGACGAAACGACTTTTCCGAGAAGCCTGTGCACCTAATTTTAACGTAACTCGTTACAGCGGTAAAACGGCGATAATTGTCCCGCAGTTTTCGTCAGGATTTGCTCGTTTTAATTCCACATGCAAAGAGAATCGAATCCGTTATGTTACGAAGGAGGCAGAGATAACTACGAGAACCGGTCCAGCACGAAATTATCGATGCGAAAGTGTGAAACAACGTCCCGTTCGGGGGCCGTACGACGTTCGCCCAAACGATATCGTATGTCCAACAATTTTATTCGCGTTTCGGCTTAAACGATCCGATTACTCGTCAAGTTCCCGTGTTAAATTATCGAAAGGACGCGAATAAATACCTTGTGACGGAGTCGGGTACGAATATATTCCACCAGGAGGGTCTTTTCTGTCTGGCTTGGGCGAACAATCCATCGGTGCTGCCAACTTGCGTCGGTACCCCGGCGATCCCTTTTCTCCTCTTGCGATCGAGTTTCGGTGGCTTGGCGAGAGGATGCCAAGACTTTCGACGCCCTTTCTTGCCCTCGAGATCCGCCTTTACTCTCTCGTTCTCCAGCACCTCCTGGTTCTCCTCGAGGAGGTCCTGAGACACGTAAAACACCGAGCCTCTCCTGCCGCTCTCGCTGGCTCGCCTCTTCTCCTTCTGCATCTGTTTCGCGTTCTCTTTCTCTTCGGCGACACTGCCGCGCCGTGCCTTCTGGAACAAGCTGTCCTTGCGAGCCTTCAGATCCTCCAGGACGCTGTGCCTTCGCCCCTTGTTGTCGCGCAGGATAGCGTTCGAGTCCCTTCGGCCGACCGCGCCGATCAGCTTCGCGAACGACGACTCTTCCTCCATCATGATCGACGGGATCGAGTTCGTCGACGCGAATTTCGTGGTCGCGTGACCATTATTCTGTGGCTCGTTGCTTATGTACATCTTGCTTTCCATGCTAATCGATCCTTCGAACCAATCAATCTCGTAAACGGTACTGGCCTAGTACGTACTTTACTCCGTGTCGTAAATGTATTTATATAAACTCGTAAATATTCGAGAATAACGAATAACGCGAGAAGTTACGGATAGCAAAGTCGACGAAAAAATTTGTAAGAGAAACTCGTTTTAGACGTTTTAAACAAAGCCACGTTATTAATTGCTTTCCGCTTTCTTAGATGCGCTTACAAAATAGACGTAAAATCAAGATATTGAATAGTTCGTTTTCCGAACAACAGTCAGGGACTCGAGTTTCGGAAAATATCGAACGGGTTCGGCGGAAGAACGAAAGTGTTTGGAAACCCGAAGCATTTGAAATTCGAATATTAAACATTCCGGATGGATGACATTCGATAGGCCTGCCACGATCGATCGTAAACACGATCTCGAATCGAATGTCGGCACAGGTACGAAGATAGTCTTTCTCTCGAGGCCGATCCCGTCCGAATTTTCCCGAAGCGTGGTCGAGTCCATAACCTCGAATACTCTTGTGTCTCGAAGAAATGACATTTACGACGCGCGTAACGCACGAAATAGAAACATCGCGTCTACCCACCACTGATCACAGCTTTTCACTACGACTTCCAGGGTTAACGACGAGAACGACACTGTACACGCACTCGCATCGACGCGAAACAACACTGTACACGCATCCAAGATAGTCAGCAGCGATTCAGGATCATTTTTAAAATGCCGGAAACACGGAAGGTACCGGAGCTGCGCGTACCGTTAAGGCGCGATCGGCATTATTCCATCGCCGGTGAAAGCAGCCACGGCGGCGTACCGAGTGACCGCCTTTTCACTCCTCGTGAAACGTGCTATCGGCACGAACGTAGCACACGGTGTACAGCAGCGAGCTCGTGTGTCGTATCAGAAGAGTTATCCGCGCAGAGGTATGTTCACCGGGGAACCAGCTCGAGGCGCGAGCTCTAAGAACACATCGAGGATCGTTGACCCACGAGAACCAGCCCCCGACGGTCAACCGACTAGCTCCTCTTCCTTCCCGTATCTCTCCTTTCGTTCGATCGTTTGTTCGTCTATTTTTCTGGCAAGTCGAGCCCCCGCTTGGAAACTCGTTCCCTTACCGACTTCGGACGTCAACCGCTCGATTCGACCTTTGCTGCCTCTCCGACTGTAACCGTGCGAATACACTCGTACCTCGATTCGCGTTATACTCTCTGCTTATCGTCCAAATGTTATCGATACATCGATAATAAACACCGATAGAATCGACGTTCAACTCAGGTGAGATCGTATCGAAAGTTTCAACGAGTATATAAATAGATTCGAAAGATAATGTCGCGTTAGGTTAGGTTCGAAGTTGAAATAAAAATAAACAGATTCTACCAGGATCACTGTCGGCGCTATTATCGATATATCGTGAAATATCGTTGTCGAGTCTTTACCGACTTACGTCGACTGATTCGCGACGAACGAAATGCACGAGCGCGGGGTATGACCGTATACTGGTCAGACGGTAACGGTTTCCTGATCGAAGCACACCAACCGCACGAGCTTTCTTCGGTAAAAGCGTGTCCAAGTAACTTTCCTACCATGAAACTTTTTATGGCGTGTCGTTTCCGTCTTGTCGTCGACGGGAGAGGAACAACTCGTACAAGTTAGATTTCCGATGCGTGGTTAGCTATTCGACGTGTTTCTAATACCGTGAAACTCTCGAGGAAAATGGAGCCTGGCCCGAGTAGGGCGGCGGAACCGAACACTCGCTTCTTTTCATCACACTTTTTCAACTGATTCGTTTAGAAATCGGTGCACAGGCGCGGGCGAAAAACACGCGATCGACTAACGGACGAAAACACGCGCGACATGCACGATCTTTCGACGTGTACTAATCGCGAAATTGTGGCAACGAGTCGAGAAGTTTGAGCGGTGCGGTGGGGTGCGGGGGGTTGGGAGGGGGAGAGGTATACCGAAAACCGGCTACTTTCTCTCACTGTTTCCGTTTCCTTTTTTCTTCTTGCCCGCGTATCGACGCGTTCGCTCGACTGCTACACAACACGGCCACGATAACGACAACGATACAGCCTGGATCGCGATAAATCGAGATATTACAGACACGCTCGAATCGACAGGCCGTCACGAGAATCGAGTATCGCAGCGACTAACCGAGAACGAAGCGAACTGCTTGTATTTATACACGGTGAGACGGCGAGGCACTCGGCCGAGACTGTCTCTTCGGGCGCATCCCCCACCGCCGCATACAAGTACCCAACAAGAAGAAACACGCACCGAAGACGCATGACTTTGTGGTCTTTCCATGGTTTACAAACAGCCTTTTCGTTTTCTTTCCTTTTGTCTCTGCTCCCTCGATATTGCTCGCGAGCTTCCAACGATTATCGACACGCCAGCGAAAGTGTACCGGGAGCTAAAGAATGCCGCGATTTCTGTACTCGCAGTGTGCACGCCGTGGTAGACTTCGCTGAAGAAAATGGCGGTGTAGGGGGAATAGGCGCCATCGTTCGCTTTAAAGCGTTTAAGGGGAATAGCCGATTAAAAGTACCATCGAACCGATTTTATCTCTTCGTATACCGTTCAATGGCTTGCCAAAAAACCGAGTTTCGACCCTGTACCTAGCGAAATTCGAATTGCCGAGCTTCACCCTATTTTCCCTACTTAGCGACGTGAAAAATTCTGAAAAAGTTCAAGGACACTCTAGGCACGGTAAAATATGTAGAGAACTTTTTCGCATTTTTTTCTTTCAAATCCAAAGTGTTAGAAAAAAGTAGAGATTTCGTACTGAAATTTAAGAGCGACCTTTTCTCTTACACGGCACTAAACCGTGCGTGTAAAAATTTCCTTCCGATTCAAAGAAAAGCGATAGTATTTTTTCCAGCTCATTGTCGATTCTCGACAATCCCCGCACACGAGCCAACACGATAAACACGATACTGATCATTCCAGGAAGAAAGAACCTTAAGAGTAACGATACTTCGAAAGAATGTATCAACTTTTTGGAAGTCTGCCTATCGCTGACGCGTAATCTTCAGATTAAGATACAGGGTTGAAACTTAGCAGACGCTGTCTTTTGTTATGTTAACTAACTGGTTATGTTAGTAGCCTGCCCCTTTCAATACCCAATCTCCAAAGTAAAAATTTGTGTAAATTTCATTAGAAACGAGAACTATGAGAAAAATAGTAGCGTTCGATAAAAGCGAAACGATATAGACTCATAAAAATTTTGTGAAATTGCATGTTGCAGAAATGGTAAAATCGATCTTCTGTGGTTTCTCACGCAGCCTGTACTCGTCGTTCTAGCTTTTCTTTTTCTCCCTTTTTTATATATGCATTACAGGATCGAGAGACGTGGAACCTTGGTTGACATTTTTTTCAAACGTTTTAGCACAGTCGTCATCGCGGTGCCGTGTCTGGTTGCGCGCGAATCGAGGAAAACGCTGATAACGTTTCAGAAATAGCGGTGACAATGTTGCATCTTCTATCGATAAACAAAACAAGAAAGCAACGAAACGTAATTAGAGTGTCGTGTTCCCCATCGGATGAGGACAGAAAGGGAATGGTTAGCGGCACGGAGTTCGTCTTACGAAACTGGACATTCGGAAAGTTGACGCTCTAGCTGCAACGCTTTGCAAATCTTGTCGCGCGCACAAGAAACGTCGCGATTAAATGACGAAATAAATTTTCGCCAGATTCGCTCGGCGCGTATCTGCGATAAAGATGGTTAACGGCGATAACGATAAACGTCGCGTTCGACGGATCAGCTACGCAACGCTGGATGAACAAAGAAAACGAGACGATACTGTAGCGAACGAAAACACAGGAAGTCATCGCGGACGAAACACCTTTCGAACCATCTACCGATCGTAACTCATTTCATAATACGGTACTCGGTTAATACGCTGCACGAACGATCGCTCGTTATTCAACTTCGAATCGACGAAACACGGTTACTCGTTACCTAACTGTCTTCTACGCATTAATCTTACTGTCAAGAAATATTAAGTTCGTCTATTTTATCGGTTCGATCTCTCCGTTTGTTTCTTTCAATTAACGTTTTGCTTCGTCTCGAATTTAGTTAATGCTGCACGGCGCATCGCAACGCGAGACCCGACGGGATACTAAAAAAGATGCAGCCACGATTCTTACGATCCATTTGTGACTGTCGTTCGTTCGCGTTACGAGAAACTAGGGATGCACGGAGAGATACAGGGATCTACGAGAACCCAGGGATACAGGAATTTAAAGATACTCGACGCTGGGTGTACATTACATCGGTGATATCAGGTTTCAGATCTGGGGCTACTTTTGATATCGAAATAGAGGAATTCGAGAGCTAAGATGCAATTGGAATGCAGGTATTAAGGAATCGATAAAAAGGCGCATTCGTCGAGCAGGATAAAAAGTGTCGGTAATACGTTCGCGTAGACTGGTTCCCAAGCCACAAAATTCCAGCACAACCCGATTCAACTCGGTTATGCAACACGCGATATCGTGCATGTACGATTCGTGACCGTGCCACGAGACGGTTTTTCGTCGCGATATGACTTTGACCCAATTTATCGGATGGGGAACAACCGACCGACCCGACGACGCTTTTTCCGACGCTCGAAAGTCTACCGTCGGAAATAAAAGAAAAAAGGGAATGGAGCGGTCGTCGACTCGCGACGAGTAAATTCAGCCAGGTGTTGGCCAAGTTTTCTCCGCGGTTCGCAGCGCAGAAACTAGCAGCCGAGAGAAGCTGACCTGCAGGGACGGCCGAGTTAACTGGCTGAATCGAATTAAGAGCTAGCCGGTATTTTCATCGCTACAATTCGTCTAATTGGGCGCGGACGAATTGACCAATTGTTTCCACCGGTTTGCACGTCCGTCTCTCGTTAACCCCGAGAACCTTGCTCGAGAAACAACGAGCCGCGACATTTTGCGCGAAAACTCTCCTCCGCTTTCGGACAAAAACACGTTCCCTCTTCGTTGAAACACGCTCTGAATCCCACCTCGCTATCTCCTTATCTTCGTATTCTTAAGTCAAGTAATCAGATTAATTTTTCCTCGAAAGACTAAATTTTCGCGAACACTCCGAACATCTGTAGAGATCGATTTAATCAGTTTAATGGAATTAATGGCACCTCTTATGCTATTCTTTATCGTCGTCTTCGTATCGTCGAAACCTCTCGACGATAATCATCGTTCTAAAGATCGCACTCGTTATTGGCAGGTATTATATCATCCATAATCGGCAGACGACTGGATAACAACAAATGTTTTGGCGTAATGTTACGCGTATTATGCTTCGTAAAATGATACCGCGCGTACGGACCAGAGGTCACCAGAGGATAAGGCCTGGAAAACGTTGTTTTATAACAAAGACCACGGAACGGTAGATAAACAACAAAGAAGACTCGTGTTCCAATCTGGCAAGCAACAAACGTCCCTCCATGCTGTCTGATGGAATAATTTCATGCATTAAACAGACGAGAGTCTATCAGCGTGCAGCTTTATCAGTTAGCCGCTTATCACCGACCTCGCGTATCCCAAGACAGGTTTATGACTGGGCTACTGGAATCGTAAACGAACCCAGAATCTCTTTTACATCGAAAATCAACGTTCGTCTTTGTCCCGAACCTTCCGGTTATTCTAGCTACCTGCACCTTTTTCTCCTGTTTTTCCTGTCGACGAAATCTCACGTTCAGAAAACGAGATTCGAGACACGTGTACGATAGAACAAACAACGTTGATTTGTCACTTGGCGAACTTGTTTTGCCTCCTCGCGTTGGCTAGAACCGCGAGTTTGCGAATACCGAGAAATCGGATTGTCGCGCTTCTGTTTATTCGCTAGAGTAAATTTGGACGTTGAGGAGAAAAACGTCATGTTCTGGATCTGGGATTACCTACCGCGTCAGATTGCGCGTAATTCTGGCTACCGATTAGAAATTGATTTTGTGTATCGAATCCCGCGGGTCTGACAACCTACGATCTACTTAACGCTATCGAGAGTTAGGTATTTTCTTTTGTTCTCCACACGTTCCCGTTCCGTTATCGTCGCGAAAGAAAATGCTCTCTGTACGCACGATAATCGTGCGTCCCTCGATTTTCTTCGGCGTATCGCGTTAACAAATAAAACGCAAAACGGAGTCGTTCGTGTGCCCGGAGACGGAGATAAATCTTAAGGGCAACAGGCATCGCGACTAGATAACCCGATGAACCGAGAAGCTTTCGTTGTAATCGCTCTGTAACGACGTGCTCCGCTACAGAAACAATCGCGGACAAGATTGCGGCTCGCGACAGCTCGTTTTTCGTTTCGAGAGACGAGAGTGAAAGTTGCCGTTGCTTACAGCCGTTTCGAACGCTCTGTTTCTGTCTTAACGATTTAACCGCCTTTCGAAACTTTTAATTGATCCATTAACTTGTTATTAAATTATCAGCGAATATTCTATATGTGGGATTAGAAATTTACTGATATGAAAATTTACAAGTAACTGTAAATTTAAAAATTTAGAAATTGAGAAGAAAGTTGAAGGAAGACGATTTTGACAAAGTCGCGACGGACACCTACGGCAAGAGGTGCATCAAAAGCGATCGAATCGATTACGCAATTAGAACGGTTGCACGATCACGGTGAAAGTCGTCGACCGATAAAAAACGTATTATTTCATTGTACCTTCGGACTTCAGAACGTGACCCATCGATCCTAATGGACCTGAATTACACGGACTTAAATTTTCACTCTTTTTCCTTTTTACTGGGCATTGTTGTCAGAATCGCAACGACAAATCAATCTTCGAGCGATATCTGATAAAGCGATACAAGGTTATTGAATTATACGAGCACGATCGATTTGCTGATACGAGAAAACTACAATACCGTTAAAAAAATCGATGATTTCTGATTTTTCTATTAGTGAACAATCGAAGACAACGATCGCGCCGAGGCGATTAAGTTGTAGCCGTAGCGCAATTAAAGATCTTAAGATGTAAACACACGGAAACTTCGTAGAAAGTGATGAAATTGCGATAGCGCGAGGACGTTGATGCAACATTGCAACGAATTACACCTGTTTTCATTTTCGCCGCTTCGCGCAATAACGAAAACCTTTCAAATTTTCCTCCGAGCTTTGCGTTCGTTTCGAACTTCGGTAACTTTATAGTTTCTCTCCCGTT